TCTAAAGGCACTACGTAACGGGGTGATTAGAGCAGCATAACAATTACCATTAATCTTTACCATTCATTCTCTTGAATTGCTGTAACAGATGTGTTCTATTAGCGTGTTTCCATTCCACAACACGGCCATAGGATTACTCTCTTGTTTACCGCCTGTCACTTTATACAAGTCAATATCACCACCAACCATCAGTGGCTCGTACACTGTCACATATACACTAGTGGACACCTCACTTCCCGATTACACACACACACACACACACACACACACAAATAAGAGTTCCTTTCTAGCACCAACCCCTGGACTATTGCACACTGACACACGCCATGTATACCTTCACTACCTGTATAGTGACGCACGCCCTGTTACCTCTACAGCCTCAGACACGCCTTGTTCTCTACACGCCCTGATCGAGACTCAAAAAACCCTAACGTAGGGATTCTTCTCACTCACCAGAAGCACACAAGCAAGCGACACATCCCAAGCACACACCAACTCTTCAAGCATTCTACCTTAGCTGCCCAAATCACCTCTCCATCGGCACACGCCCGCGCAGCCCACTAACCACGCCCGCTAATTTGCTACATCAGTCACCTCACCGCGCCCACTAATTTGGCCTACCTCCCTTACCACCCACACAACCATGCATGCTAATTTGTGCTGTCACTCACTCTCTCCCGCTCACTAATTTGCTCACGACCTCCCTGGCCACAACCTCATTATACAGCGTCGTAATTCGCTTGGCAATTCAAGATGACACCTAAAGCACTACTTGTGTGTTGGCTGTTAACTGTCCGGTGCAGTGTCACTTACATAGATGAAAGTGATGCTAACATGATAATTAGGATGGTTAATAATACTAATAGCAATAGCAGTAAATTGTAATACCAATAATAATAGTAATAGCAACAACAGCAATCATTACTATAAGGTGATAATGTTGAATACTCATATATCGTCTCTATTATACCGGAGATCACTTCAGTCTGTACCAAAATTTAGTTCAACTTTCCTGAGATATTTCAACTAGTAAGTCGTAGTGCCGGTGAAGGCCCACCGTGTTCTGGGCTAAAACGAGTATAGTTTACCTTTCATTCTTAGTGTTCTTTCCTCATCTGAAAAACACAACTCACGGTACACACACACACACACACACACCAAGAGAACGGGAGGCAGCATCTCTCAGGAGGTCCACCAGACAAAGACAATCCTCGTCGACAAACAGAAGAGGCGACAACACTACACCCTGAGGTACCACCACCCACAAAGAATTTCCGCAATTACAGCCCTTCAGGAGTGTAAATAATCCGTCTCTTCTGCTTCCTCTAATCCCAAGACGCGTTAGCACTCTTCGTTACGTTAAAGACGAACAATGACGAGCTTGACAATGTAACAAGGTAGCGTATGACCGTGTCACAAAGGCTGTAAAGAACCTGGCTTTCCCCCGAGCTTCTTCCCTCCACCGAGACAACATAAACGCCACCACCAACCACATTATTATTTTTCCCTTTGTTGTCGTCTAGTTCATGGTTCTTCCAACTTTCTTTGATTTTCATTTTTTTTTTTCTCGTTTCATTTCATTTATATACTCTCTTTTTCTCTCGTTTGTTCCTCTCTTCTCATCTTTTCTTCTCTCTTTCATTCCTCTCTTCTCTTCCTTTCTCTCTCTTTTTCCCTTCTGCTTTCTGTTTTCTCCTCCTTCTTTCCATCCATTTGCTGCTCCTCCTCCTCTACATCATTCTTCTTTCTCTCCTCCTCCTCATCCATCCTCCCCTTCACCCTCTCCACTCCTTCTTACACCATCTCATTATTTGATTACAATTTTCCTCCTATTTTGCATCTTCCTCATTTAGTGTCAATCTCAATTCTCTCCTTCCTGTAATTATTCTATTTCTTCGTATGTGTCTCCATTTGCTCCTCCCTAATTACCACATTAATAGCTTTTTCCACCTCGTAATCGGTGTTAGTGTTAGTATAATAGTGATAGTAATATTATAACAGTGCTAGTAATAGTCTGATAGTAATGAGGTAATATTACTGTAGCCTATATAGCTTTAGTAAGAGTCTAATAGTACTAGTAATAGACTAATAGTACTAGTAATAGACTGATAGTACTAGTAATAGTCTAATAGTACTAGTAATCTTACCATCACAAGTCAAAGACATATACCTTGACCAGCTCTTAATTAATTCCGAAATAATTATATTACTCCAGTAGTGTGAGTTATGGTATTACCTGTTCATAATGATAGTACATAAGCTGTCCAGGTGTTGTCGTAGGTGGCATCCCTGGAGTAGAGTTGGGTCACACCTTAATTGACCAGGTGTGTTTCCGGGGTCAGTAATGTTGGTGGAGTTTTGTGTGTGTGTGTGTGTATGTCTGTGCTTGGTGGACTTGTGTCAGTGATTAAAGATGGGGGAGAGGTCGTGTGGGTGGGAGTGCTGGAGGTGGGAACAGGGTGCTGGAGGTCATAGGTCACCGTCTGTTGGTCACTTATTGACCTGATTGTCGGGGGAAGTCCTCCATCCGGCTCCAAGGGGAATTATTTAGCCGGATGTTAACTGTCATACATTATTTTTCACCCTCATTATTATTATTTTTTTTTTATTATTATTATTATTATTATTATCATCGTGGGGTGTAATTACGTCATAACATCGGAAAGTTTGTTGACACTATCGAGTAATGTCCGCGATACCAGCTGTGTATGAGAGGGGAGTGAGGGAATCGTCTGTTGGTGTATGTATGTATGTATGTATGTATGTATGTATGTATGTATGTATGTATGTTAATAATGACTACTGGAGATGGTATGAAACCCAAGTATGAACGAGCGGGACTTAACATGACAATTTCCATCTTCATTTTCCAACACGCAACATTATTCTCAAACACCACCGCCAGGGAGAGTCACAGTCACATCCGCCAGTCTCACGTGATCTCTTAACTCCCAACCACAACAAGAACTGACAGTTATAATACACTCAGATGATATAATACCTTCAACAACAATAACTACAACAACTACTAGCAACAACGTACACAGCCTGCACCAACCACCATCTCTAGTGTTGTTAACTGTCCAGCGACACGGTTATACCCCCCCCCTCTCCTATAGTACCTCCCCTTCACTACCCTGTGCCTTCCCTCTCCTCATTCATCCTTACTCTCTCACTCTATTTCCCCCCTCCCCTCCTCCCTCCCTTCTTCCCCCACCCATGAGCCCCATCCGTACTACTCAACTGTGTGCTGTACAGGCTGTTTATTTACGTTACTTTATTGGGTCATCCCACAGCCTTACAAGTACAATACATGTTCCTAATGCCTTCCAGCCTTCCTCACCCTTTCAACGTTCACTTCAACCACCCTCCTACACCACCTTACCACCACCACCCCCTTACACCACCACCACACCCCCCCTTACACCACCACCACACCCTCCCTACACCACCACACACCCTTACCACCACCACCCCACCACCACACACCCCCTTACACCACCACCCATACCACACCACCCCCCTTACACCACCACACCCACTCCCTACACCACCACCACCACACCACTCCCCTACACCACACCACACCCTCCCTACACCACCACCACCACCCTCCCTACACCACCACCACACCCCTCCCTACACCACCACCACCCTCCCTACCACCACCACCACCCTCCCTACACCACCACCACCACACCTCCCCACCCACCCACCCACACCCCTCCCCTACACCACCACCACACCCCTCCCCACCACCCACCACACCCCTCCCCTACCCACACCACCACCCACCCCTCCCTACACCACCACCACACACCCTCCCTTCACCACCACCATCCTCCCTTCACCACCCCTGCACCTACACCTCCCCTACACCACACTCTACACCACCCTGGCCCCGTTGTACCCTAGTCACGTATACGAGGTATTAGTTAAGCATCACCACAGGGTACTACCTATTTGAGGTGGTCGCTATATTGACAAGAGAGAGAGAGAGGATTTTGTTGTTGTTTCTTGTTTTACTTGTCCTAATGAGCCTCTGTATTTGTTATTAAGTGAGGTGAAGGTAAGTTAGGTTAGGTTAGGGTAAATAACAGTGACAATAATAACAATAACACTAATAGTAACAATAACACTAATAATAACAGCAGAATAATAACAACAACACACCCATAACTCGGCAGGTAGCGATAACTATATATAGAATACACATATATATATATATAACACCTCCAGGGAGACACATCTACATATACCACTGAAGCTATTTTTTAGTAGAAGTCCTGCTGCTGGATACATATGTGTTATTACGAGATATATATTAGCTGGTATATAAAATTGCCACCACTGAGTTCATACATGATATAACGTGACACACACACACACATACGGTGCCACTGCTCGGTACATATGTGTCATCACGTGATACATACGGAACACACAGACCACAATACTATCAGCTAGACCCTCCATCACCACCACAATATTGCCGCAGGAGAGCTGGAGATTACTTGTCCTGGCCAACCAAGTGAGGCTGAATTGCTTCT